AGGCTGATGGCGCAGAGTTTTTCAAAGCACTGGGGTTTAGGGACAGAAAGGGCAAAATAGACTTTAAGTGGGTAGAATTAACTAGGAAGAGGTTATCTGATTGGTGGCTAAAGTGAAGACATGAGTGAAAATTAAACCATTCACTGCAAAGTACGAATCCTCAACCTCTCTTTTTAAAGGAAAAAAATAATAAATCTAGTTTTTGGTTTATTAAGTATTACGGCTTGGTGGCTCTAGCCACCGCCCGATCTAAAGGGTACAGCCATATACATCCATCCATCCATCGATCCATCCATCCATCCATCCATCCATCCATCCATCCATCCATCCAAGCATTGACATACCTTGTACGGAAGGAGAGAGAGACTATCGCGTGATTACGATCGCGTGTTCTTCGGCGTTGCCGTACGCCAGGGGGCGCTCTATCCTACAATAAATGCACCGATTTCGCGTGCGCAAAATTCAGAGGCTTCATAGAGTCATATAAAATGTCAAGAGAGGACACTGTCATAGGCCCCTGCGGCTGATTTGCGTTCGCAGAGCACTAAACGGATGTAGTGAAAATTTCCAGCCTTAGAGATGGCAGACCGGAAAAAAAAAAACAGTCTCAAAGGCCATCTTCTCGTGACTAGGAATATTACACAGCCTCCGAGACCCTTCTACGTGCGTGGTCATCTCTGAGGCCGTACTTTACTTTTTTAACGCGTCGTTTGCATGCATCGATGAGCTTCGTGTAAGCTGCACCACTAGAGCGGCAAGCAAACGATTTCAATATGTGTCTATGCACACAAATAATTAAATATGAGAGTTATTAGAGGACCAAAAACTTTCATTTTAAAGTGATATTCTTGGTAAACACACGCCCACTTTGATCACGCTTTATAATCGCAGGCACAAAGAGAGGTTCACTGCACAGCGAGACGCGAAAATACATCTGCCATATCATGAATAAAAATTAAACACGGGAAATAAAGATATATAGGAAACAACATAACCAGAATCACAGCCGAATAAAACTGCAACAAACGCACACAACTACACATTGAGTGCACAACGCGACACGGCATTAGTTGCCTCCGCACTTGACGGCGGAATGAACCGAAAAAAGAAAAAAAAATGTTGGTTACGTTTTCTTTCCCACCTTCGCACTAACTGTCTCCTGCACACTTTACATCGCTCTTTCGCGAAAGACAGCCACAAGCAGTTGACGCAGCAAAAACAAAGCAATTTTAGATGTCATGCAAGCCATTAACGAGGGAAGAGTGTTTACTCAAAGATTACGTCCTAACTATCACTAGCAAACATTTTTCTAGATTCACTTCTATCATTCTCAGCTCATTAGAGCTTTCAACAATTTGAGAACAGCACAGATAACAATACTGAGCGTAGCTGCACTTTTCAAAAAGTCTCACTTGTGTAATGAATTGGAATACGTGTAGGGTTACAAAGAAAACCTAACAAAGCGAGCGGCGACTCAATTTGTTGAACCAAAAAAGAGTTTCCTCACAAACGTGCTGCAAAACAATCCAGACAGATTTATTTCGTGTGAAGCAATCTACGAAAACAGTATGCGAAGTGAAGAGCACAAAAAATTGGCCCTGTATCTGCTTGTTATTCTGCAAATGTCGACGAAAGACGATAGTCTTGCGTCTGGAGAGAGTGAACAAAACGTTTATTTGATGTTCTGCGCAAGAAAAGTGGTGAATGGTATTCAGGAGGCTCTGCGTGAGTGCCTCGAGCGTGTAGTGGAGGCGAACGAGCGCATCAAGTCACGTCACTCGTGAGACATGAGCGCCATCTGGCAGCTTTCATGAAAACAAAGCGCGCGTCTCTGAGACGGGTATGCGTGACCATCTCAGAGGTGATAAGGTGTAAAACACAAAAAGACGGGTAGGTGCCTCGACCGTCTCGTCTTAGCAAAGCGTTAGAAACACTAACCTTTTCGATCAAGCGTTGCATGGTCAGCGCAGCGTGATAAGCGCTACGGTCCCTGAAGTTACTTATGTTTGCTTTATCTAGTAAAAGACGCACACGCAGAATATAGACGTGTTGTTATGGTGTCCCAGACATGAGCAATGGTTGCTTCTTGATTGACAATTGCATAAGTATGAACGCTGAAGCTTGAGTAACATTATTGTGCGCTACGGATGGGTTAGCCGTTAACAGTGGACGAACAGATTAATGTACAGAGAGAGGACAGACCAAAAGTTTTTCGTCGAAGGTCCCCAAGAAAGACTATCATCTTCAAAAATCTCTGCGCCGAACAGCACAATGCCAGTAACGTTCGGTTAAGGCTTCAATGACAATTGCAATACGCACATAACATAGTATAGTGGGCAGATACAACTAAAGAAAATCGGAACAAAATATTTTACTGCAGAAAAAAGCGATTCGTCATATTGCAAACGTACCATACGACGCACATACAAGTGATTTATTCAGATAATATAACATTTTACTAATCGATCACATACACAGCTTTAACCTTATTATGAAATACATACAAAGCTTGCTATCAAACAACGCTTGTTTTCTTAAACTGTGTAACCTCAGAAAAACTACACAATCCAATTATGACAATCGGAAAAGGTCTTCCTGAATCGTTCCTTATTCGTGAACTAATCATGGTTTGGGAAAATTTGAACAATGTATTCCTGCTTGTTTTAACATGTTGGAAAATAAAATATCGACATCTTTAATATACATAAAACAACTTAAGAAGCTTCTCATCCAGAATGGCAGCGTGTAGTTTAGCTTCTTCTAATTGTCCGGCTAAAATACTACATGTGAAAAAACACCCTATAATAGGGCTCGTGTGTAACATGGCATCCTATGATATTTGCTTTCTTTGCCATTTTTTGTTGCTTTTTTACGAGTAAAACATGTAATTTCACTCGTCAGTGTTTCTCTTGTACATCAAAACGTGTGCTTTTCGCATACGCAGTATCGTAAACGTCTTATATTCATTTTGTAATACTTTGTTAGCAGTTTAGCAACGTGTGCATTGTTTCATGATTGACCATACGAAGTTTTTTGTTTAATTTTTGTTTTTCTCTCTTTGTGGTTTGCTTATTTTATGTAAACCTAAAACTGATGTTATTTTGATGCCTTTTGTTTGTATTTCCTAATTTCTTGAAGTTTTGAAAATCGACGTCAAACTGTTTTTTCATGTTTGTGCTCTGCGAATTTGTAATGCCAAGTGAAAAGGGGTAAGAGCTTCGTCAACCTGCTAACGTAGCAACTTTTTACTATTATCCTTGCGTTTTCTTTTCGCAACTCTGTGAAGAAAATGCTCAATAAAACTGAAATGAAATATTGATGGCGTTCGTACCTACCAGTAGCCAAGCTGAAAAGCAGCCGAAACAAGCGAAGACCACGACGCACACTGGCACGTTATTGCACATCTTTTATGGAATATTCCTGCTGCTGCCCATGCTATTTCATTGCCGCAAATGCTCATGAACACAGAAAGTAACAACGTTGCCGTCACGTCGACGCCATGTGCGCTTCTCCGGCATCCGATGCATGTCTGATCCCAGCCCAACGTTATCGCGACGCACAATCGAAGACGCTAAAGACGGATTTGGACCACTATCACATACGAAAAAACACGTAGACGTATACTGCACTAGAAAAAGTACTGTAGTAAATAATTAGTACGCGTGTTTGCTTGAAGCAGCAAGTGATGTGCTTCACCCCATCTTACGGCTGGGGTGAAGCTGCATAGCTCAGCCGCTTTTTGGCCCGAGTGTCCACTCTTTTTATTTTCATGTTACTCTATGGAGGCTCGGCGACGGAGTACGTGCGGGCGCGCGACGCAGAAGCGCGCTGCGAAGGCCCTGCAGTACGACAACGAGAAGCCGAAACAGCGCAGCCGTGGAGTGCGGAACCAGCTTCGTTACACTTCCTTTGTTCACTCCGTGGGTATGCTGTCATTCTTTAGACTCCTACCACTGCTGGTGCTGGTATTGCAAACGTTAGTGGTGCCGTGGTTACGTGACTATAAATAACAAATTTTCATCTTACCTAGATACGTGATTCCGCGTGACATTTCTACTTCTGTTTAGAGTGCCCTATGTCTGTCCGCCTCGTAACGTTTTGCTGATTTTAAAGTAACGTATCAACCTTCCTCATTCGTGCTTCGCATATCATTGATTGCTACTGTACGTCGGATCTACCAACTTCTTGATTCGATACTTTGAGTGTCAGAAGGATTTCTCTGGCTTGTGCACTCCTTCCAGTACATTGCTAAGCGCACGTGCGCGGTCTCCTTTAGTGAGGTCTCGTGTTCACGAAGGCGCACGTTTAGGCAGTGACATGTATTACCGACCTATTCCTTTTCACACGCGGAAGGAATCCCGAACACGACATCATTTTGCATTCAACGTACCTCCTACCATGTTTCAAGTTACATCCATCTCCTCCTTCCATGCATTTTCGTTTAGGCTAGCCGTTGTACTGCCGGCCAAATCTTAGACAATTCGTTTTCAGTTTTAAAAAGCAACCCGCGTCCTACACTTTATTGCAACATTTTTTGTGGTGGGAGGAGGGCTTAACACGTGTTTCTTTTTCAGCTCTATGCGAACGTTTAGAGAACTGGTATTTCGTTATTTCCCGTTGTTGATGATAATAAAGGTGGCTTGTGGTGACGTTGTGCGTGTATACATATATAAGAGTGTTCGTAGTAAAATAAAATTTTCATTTCGTAGTAAGCACTCGTTTTGTGTCAATTCTGTGCTTTCGTAGTTGGTGGCGCTTGTTTCATCATGAAGTTATTTGTATTATGCTCAGCTGGGAGTGCCTTCGACGCATTATTGAAAGTTCACAGGTGCGGCTTTTGCCAGCGACAATAAATCATTTCGTGCAATCAACTTTTTATTTGTATGATAACGACTACAAACAACATATTTTATACATTCCTAGTCTTTCTTGTTCGTATAGTGTTGCACTTAATCGGGAAGTTTTCCTGGCTATGGTATCGAGAAGTAAATCATACTCACGCAGACTTCCTGGTGTGGGTAAATAACGAGCTGATATCGCATCACGACGTTCCAGTGCTAAAATTCCTGCAAAGTAAACTTCGTAAATTAAACCAGGAAACTTGTTCAAGCAAATATAAGATAGCGTGCAAAGATAAGGTAAGATAGTCAGCAAAGATAAGATAGCGTGCAGTTTTCTGTAGCAACTGCACGTCGCATCAGACAAAACTTCCGCTTGACGAAACGGCTGACACTTTCCTATGAGATGTTGAGGAACAAAGAACGGTTGTTTTAGGCAACCAACCTACTACTTGTCTTAAGGTGAATAAATTCAATGTCTCACATTCATGGAGACCGGCTTAATTTGTTCGTGCCCCGGATGCTGGCCTACGCTACCTCTAAGGGTGTAAGCACCTGCACTAGCTAAACCTCCGGTTCGCAGCACATGTACCTTGGGATGATACCAAGCGGAGCATGAAACGTCAACCTTGAGAGGTCTTTAGGTGTGTCTAATATGATTTAGGCTAACGTCCTCTATTACAAACTAAAAAGCGCACATATCCTAAAATATCCATAAAAATCAAAACCTTCAAAACAAGGCCCTTTTATATATGACAGCCAGTGATAAGTACCAGCGCCGCATTGTTTTCGCTTCACTGGCAAATCAACTGTACGGAAGGCTTGAACGATAAGATCATTAAGGATTTCTTCTCCTCAAACGCCCCATGCAAACACGTGATTGCACAGCAGCGTGATTGGCAATGCTCCTTTGTCGGACGTCCCATCGCAGCAGTCTAGTTAGTCGGATGACTCGTACGAACACGCATGTCTGCGTTAGCCCACCAAAAATATCTGCCAACTCATGCAAGAAAAGAGACGCAAGCATCGTGTTCCATTCTGACCGACCCCGTCTGAACGGGCAGAGACTTTCTCGGCATACAACTTGAAACTTAGTCTCCTTCAACGTTTTTTTTAATTTTTGAATTTAAAAATATAAACTGCTGCCACTAAAAGCAGATATTTTAAACATCTCCCTCGCTGTTACACAGATTATGTCACGCTTTGTAATTTTTGACATGAAAGCTCGCTCGTACGGGCTCGATAGCACTCTTCCTTGTCTGTTCTGCCCTCTTTCGTCTTCGTCGTTATCGCGATGTGGCTAAACATGCACAGCTTGCTGTCTAATAACGTAGGCGTTTCGCTTAGTTGACTGAGTACTTTAAAACGAGAAATAGTACAGGGAAAATGAACACTCTTGGCCGTGGTAGCTGTAAAGTGCGAGATGTCTCCACTTTACCCTCTAAGTCACACCACTAAGTAGTAGAGCTCCCATTGTCAAAGCATTTATCAGCATTGCTTGAGCGCTATGTTATCTGCACAAGTTCCGTTTATATAAAATTCATCTCTTTAAAATTCTAAAATTCTCAAGTGTGCAGGTCAATTCTATGTGTCGAAGTTTTGGCCACAGTCAGGCCTGCGAAGCGGAGCCTAGGTTACATCGAGCCCAGGACACCAAACTGCACTACACTGAATAGAAGTTCTTGCCAACCAATTGTTGTTTTCAACACTGCATCTATTTTACTGGAGAACAAGTAGTGCTGTCAGACACATAGCCTTGTGCGTTGCCATTCAAATGTGAGTGATAGTTTTGTCAGCTGCAACGAATACGACTCTGAGAACTCTCTCTCTCGAAACTCGATTTTTACATGGTTCCTTTTTGAGTTTCTGCAGCATGAACTCTTCAAGCCTCTAGATAAGATAAGCATGACTCACTTCAGCCTTGCCAGCGGTCACTACATCATATTGTCGCAACGTAGAAACAGCAATGCACAAGACTTTGTTGTGACGAGAATAGATAAAGCTTGATTCGAACATAAGTGCAGACACCCCCACGTCATCTTCGACAGAGAGCCAGAAACTGCTGCTCATGCAGTTGCTCGCTTTTTTCTCCCCTGTTGCGTTGCCGGCTATTAATCGTCAGATGAGCCTGCCTTCCAAGAAAACATCGTCTTAATGCTTCATTCGTAATGGCGGCAGAATTTTGTCACTGCCAGGTCAGGAGTTCATTCGGACAAGTAGGGCTTCATCCAAATCACGTGCACAACACTTGGTGCATGTTTTTGATTGTTTGAACAGTGTGAGCTGTCGGAAAGAACCTCATAGTTAACGTCACTGCGATGACGAAGCGCTTGATGCAGACCGAAGTATCGCCTTAAGGGCCTCTTTAAGAGGCCTCGACGACGAAATGTGCCCAGACCGAAACTCTCTTTTCCGGATCATAGAAGGCTGTTCAGTAATTTAGGATATAACGCCTTGTGTTGTAGTCTTCTTGGCGAGAAATACGTGTGTGGGCCAGTTGTCGGGTTTTTTCGGCAAGCTCAGTTATGTAGTCAGCACATGTTTCAACGCCGTCGCTTTCCTGCTGCGACATAGCGTCGAGCATTGTTGTGACTTCACGGCTATAGAAAAAGCGAAATTGGGTGATGCTTGCTAGATCTTTATGCGCCGTAGTGTAAGTGGAAGTGACATAAGCGAGTATCCCATCTCAGTCTATATGCTTCACTTCGGCGTACGTGCAAAGCATATCCGAAAGTGTTTTGTTCAGTCGCTCTTTCAGACCATTAGTTAGTGAATTACATGCCATTGCTACGCCGGTGACAAGTTCCACTAAGACTTAAAACTGCGGGTAACAGCTTGGCTGTGAATGCTATTCTCCTGTCCCTTCTTATTACAGATGGAGCGCCATGCCTCCGAACGAAATTCTCAATAAAAACAGGGCTGCCTCACTTGCCGTGCCACCGCTCCAGATCCTTGGTTTCGGCGTAGAGAATGAGGTAGTCTGCGGCTGCAAATGTCTATCTCCGACCAGCAGCTGATGTTGAAAATGGTTTTAAGATATCCATTCTGACATTAGTGAATGAAGTTTCCGGGACATCTATAGGACGTGGGAGTCACGCTGTTTTGACGACTGACACTTTCCTAAGTTGGCACTCAAGGCAAGTCCGAACGTACGGTTTAACGGTTGCTTTCAGTCATGGCCGGTTGTACTTTTTAACACTCGACATAGCGTTTGTGTGTAACCTAAATGATCAGACGTTGCTTCATCATGGAATGCCTGCAGAATTCTCCTTTAGGTTATTGGGACTGGGACGGCGACTAAGTTGGTGTTTCCGTTGGAAGTTCGCCTTATATGAGACCTTACTGTGCGATCAAAACTATGCAAGTGTTCTTGCGAAGGTCTTAGGTATGATGATGTGCGTCCTTCCAAGAAATAAATTGATTACCACTGGGTGTCGTCGCCTTGCTGCTGTGCAATTGTAGGCATGTTGACTACACCGACTAACGCTGTGTCGTCGTCATCTTCGGCATTTGTGTTACAATGGGCAGTCATCAGAAAGGCAGTCATCATCTCTATGTTGCTTTTTCGATATGTAAACTCTGGTCGTATAGAGTGCCCAATGACCTCACGGGTTCTTGAAGTTCGTCAACAAACAAAAAGAGTTGTGACTAATAATAACTTTGATTGGGCAGGCCTACAACTATGAACGAGACATTATAACCACTCACATCACCGTAAGACACTCTTTTTTATGGTGGAGTAAATCTCCTTTGTAAAAACAGTGTTGTACTTGCATAAGCAATTAATCGTTCAGTGCCATCTTTCTGCACGACCACAGCTCCTAGGACAACATTACTGGCGTTGGTCTGAACTACTGTCGGAGCGTCACCGTCAAGGGGTCCGAGAACTGGCAGACTGTGAAGACGTTGCAGCAGCTTGTTGAAGGCTGCCTTCTGTTTATCACAACACACGAATTCAACGTCTTCTCGGTTGACGTGTCAAAGTTATGGCAATACGTGAAAAATTCTCAGTGAAGCATGAGTAATAGGCGTAGAGACCTAAGAATTGTCTCACTGCCTTTTTGTCGGATGGCGTGGGGAAACTTGCGATGGCGGCTCTTCTGTTGGGTCAGGCCGCACACCTTCACTGCTCACAAGATGCCCCAAAAAAAGAAGCTCTTCGAAGCCATACTGACATTGTTCTGGTTTAACCGTTAGTCCAGCCAATCGTATTGCTTGAAAACCGTTGTAGTCGCTTCAAGTTCTCGTCAATTTTCGCTGAAAATACGCAGACAGAGTACGAATATACCAGACATGTGTGCCACTTGTGGTTTGACAGGGCAGTGTTCATGAGTGGCTAAAACGTTGCCGGTGCGGAGCACAAGCCGAAAGGGAGTGCATTCAACTTGTAAAGATCATCGTGTGTCACGAAGGCTGTTTTTTCTCGATCCCTTCGTCAATTTCTATTTGCCTATATACACTTCGTAAATTCATTGACGAGAAATAACATGCATAGCATAGTCGATTGAGGGAATCTTCCATACGAGCTATCGGGTAAACGTTGTCTTTCGTAACCCGATTTCGCTTCTGGTAATCACCACAGAAACGTAAGTGCCGTCTTATTTTTTTGCCAATACTACCGGCTATGGCCAAAGACTCTTCGACAGCAGAATAACGTCATCGTGAAGCATCTATCGCACCTCAATCTACGGCCTTACATTACCGCAGAGCTACTTAGTATGGGTGCAGCCGTATAGTCGGGTGCGGCCGTTTCATCTGTATTGATGCGATGTTTTGTAAAGAGCATTTGGAGAACTGCAGACGTCAACAACCGTCCTTGAACTCATTATTCCTCTTCAGGAGCCTTTGCTTCTGAGTGGGAAGCACATTCGGACCAACATCGACGAATACAAGTGTTGGTCCGGTGCCATCGGCTTTCTGCACATTCAAACAGCCTGCGACCTCACTAAGCTCTTCCACGTGTGCGACCACCATACCTCTCGCAAGATGTTGTCGGTCAGCGCTAAAGATTGTTAAGAGAACGCGGATGTGTCCGCGATTTATGCTTATGACGCCTCCTGCAGTGAATTCGCCTTGGCTGAGTATCAGCGTTGGAATTTGTTTGGCGATGTTGTCGGAGTTGCCTGATTGGTCGCATGCTACAACTACGAGAGTGCTTTACCTTGGCGGGATGGTCACGTGACCTTCAGATACGCGCAGGTGTTTACGTCGCTGATCTTTACAGCGCA